AGGACAGTTTTTGTTTATTTAGTGCTGGCATCACATGTATTTTTATTTTTTTTTATTTGCCAGTCACTTATTTTTTAAAAATGCATCTTTCCTTCTGCATAACTTTATTTTTTTTAGAGGCATGTATTATTTATTTATTTGTTTGTTTGTTTTGTTTATACAAGCACTGGGTATAGTCAGAAGCGCTGGAGTGAGAGAATTCACCAGAGCCAGAGCGGGCAGCAGAGCAGGCAGAAGGACCGAAGTACACTGCTGAGGGGAGCAGCGGGCGGCAGGAGAGGTCTGCGCGCCATGTGGGACCCTCCTCCGGTGGCCGGGGAGCAGCCGGGGATCGAACCGGCGCTGCAGAGGCCGCGGGCAGCTTCGCAACCCAGCGCTCAACCGCTGCGCCACCAGGGGAGGCCCTCCTTCTGCATAACTTTAAAACATTTTTTCCCAAGATATTCTAAAAGACCCAAAGTGGGCAATACACATCGTTACAGAAGTCACTTGCTGTAAACCATAAAGGGCAAATGGAACTAACTGGAATTCACTGTATGGATCTGATACTGCTCAACCACAAATACACACACACACACGCACACACACTGAGCAGCAAGTGGACGTGGCAGGACATTCTATGAAAGCAAGGATGACGAGGTCCAATCTCCACAACACTGATTTCTCAAGCATTTGCTGCTGAATAAAACAGTCGAAGATTTTGATTAGGGCTTATTTCTGCAAAATGCAGTGAAGACATGAACGGTTTTCGCAGTCAGTTAATGGAATTTGCCAGTACTGGTTAGAGGTTTTCCAAGAAAAGCACATTTTTCTTCATTTCTGCAAGTCAAGGAAACCACACAGCCTAGGAGGGCTTGGGACTTGGGAGACCCCACCCCCAGCCCTGCCCACAGTGGGGACAGGCTCCTCCAGTGCTCGGCCAGAGGGTGATTCCCAAGTGGTCTCTGTGGTGGCCCTGCTTTGGAGGAGCAAGGAAGCATGGAAGTTTCTATGCTTTGATAGTTTAAGCAGGAAATAAGGCCAAGGTTTGGGGATACAGATGCAAAGGGCTTCAGGGGAGATGGTTCTCAGGGGCTCAGAAAAGGTGACTGGAAAGACAACAGGGAGAGCAGTGAAGGGTGGTGGGGACAGGCCTGGATTTCCACAGACCATGGCCTTTGGAGTCCACCCTCTGTGTGCTCCCCACACACACCCTCCATGCCCCCACCCCCACCTGCTCCAAGCTTGCTGATCACTGGTCTTGAAAAAGAAACCCCCAACAGAGGCTGGGCACACTAAAAGACATGGTATTTCTACCCCGCAGCTGTTGTGTCCTAATAAGCGTTAAGCAAAGGCCTGTCTTTCAGTTGCCACTGACAGTCACTTACATGCAAACCCCAGCCCCTCAGCAACCCTGACTTTACAGGTCACGTGACATCAGAGGTGGCTGACCAACAAATGTGCTCGAATTTTCAGACCACGAGACACACACACTAAACAACTGGTCTCCACCATCCTCTGGAATTTCCCAGGGCTGAGCAACTAAGAATGTCAGCAGAGGAGCCTGGAGCCAGCTGCTGCCAGGAATCTGCTAAGACCAGTTAGCCGGTCACCAGACCAGGGTTTCAAAGGTCAGAAAGACAACACCTCGGTACTCACTGCCCTCAGCGCCCAGCCCCAGTCCTGCCCACCGGGTCGCTGGCTCCACCTGCCAGGTCACAGCAGGGCCCAGCAAGGGGTGAGCATACCAGCCACCTCGGCTGGGCCTCAAGCAATGGAGATGCCACGTTATCACAGACATCCCACGATGTCTAGAATGGGGGTGAACAAGGACCCTCTATTGTATGGATACTATTTTATTCACCACCAAACAGGGCATACAAAATGCCCAGGTCACTAGGAAGACCCCTTTAGTGCCTCCCAGGAAGATGAGGAGGGTTTTATGGGTCCCCTGGAAAGGTATTCCAAGGGATGAATTGACTAGGGCCTGGTGCCCAGGGGTGGCAGGTCAGCGTGCTCCAGAAGCACCCGATCTCCAGACAATCCCTCCATTGACCCTTCCTACAGCCACAAAACCAACAGGGGGATTATGGGTCCATTCGGTGCTCAGAGAGCTGTGGCCCTGGTATAAGCAGGGCACTAGGCGAGGAAGAGCTAACAGGTCCTGCCCTCGTAGAGATGTCCAGCTGGGTGGGTGGGATGTAACTGACAGAATTCATGGCCAAGTGGGCGTCCAGAGACCACCAAGAGGGAGTCCTCTCACTCTCTGACAGGAGACATGTCGAGAAAGACACTGCATCACAAGCGCATCCTGTCTGCCACCAAGAGCCGGATCCTATTGGCCTCCCCCCGGCCCTGGTCCACCCAAGCCAAGCTTCAGGGGTCCTCCTGGATCCCCCTCCACGCTTGCATGTTTTCCTGCAGAGCTTCCCACAGCTCTGCTATTCCCCGTGCAAACTGTCCAACACCTGATTTTTCAGAATCGGAACACTAAACCGACTTCTTAAATTTAGGAAACTCTCACCAACACTTCAACTGTGTGTAATTAGAAGGAAGGGCCCAAACAAATGGCCTTCTCCACTGCTCCTGAAGATTTCAGGATGCTGATAAACCGAAGGAGTCCTCTGAAGCCAGAGGGGAGTTCAAGATAAAGGTTGAGGGGATTAAGAGTCCAGGGCAGGGTCTGACTTTCTATTTTCCTTTCCACTGTACTCCGAGCTGAGAAGACAGCAACAGAGGGTCTGGTGGAATCTTAGAAGGTCTTCAGCAACAGGGAAATTTAAAAACATATAACACACTCTCAGAGAAAAAGAACATAAGGGTGGGGCCTCCCCAGTGGCGCAGCGGTTGAGCGCTGGGTTGCGAAGCTGCCCGCAGCCTCTGCAGTGTCAGTTCGATCCCCGGCCACCGGAGGAAGGTCCCACATGGCGCGCAGACCTCTCCTGCTGACCTCTCCTGCTGCGCCCGCTGCTCCCCTCAGCAGTGTACTTCGGTCCTTCTGCCTGCTCTGCTCCCCGCTCTGGCTCTGGTGGGTTCTCTCACCCTCCCGCGCTTCTGACTGTACCCAGTGCTTGTATAAATAAATAAATAAAAATTTAAAAAAAAAAGTTTTTAAAAAAAAAGAACATAAGTGTGACGGGGACATGTCTTGAATTAGTGGGGAGTTGCCCCAAAGCCACACTGGAAGGCACCCTCCAAACAGACACGGATTTTCAGCAGCCTCACCTGGAGACAGAAGCCATATCACACAACCTTTCCCTAGGCTGTACCCCTTGAGTCAAGTGGGGAGCAGGATGGGCTTCTCTGAAAGCATTAGTCTTAGTTTAATGCTTCTTTTGTACAGGAAAATGGATTCCCACATCGATAGGATTTGCCAAAGCTCTTTTTTGGAACTGGGCTGTCAAAAGCCAGGAAAACAGCTGTGTAAAACTCCAATCCGTTTGGATCATGAGAAATGATTCATGTGCAACTGCTGTGCTACCTGGGCTTCAGCCTCCTTGGAGGCCACGGCGATGGCTGAAATACATACAGGAAAATCCTTAAACCGTTTAAGCCGACTTTTCCAGAAGATAAAATTACCCTTACTTTCCCACCGAAAGGGAATAAGAAGGCTCTGGTCTGGAAGAATGTTCTGACTCGTGGTTCCGCTCCAGGGCAGAGGGGAGACTAAGCAACTGTGTGCAAATACACCAGAGGTCCGCCATGTGTGCAAAGTCTGTCCATTCTGCAGATGCAGAAAATGGAGCTCAAAAGAGCAGTTCTCCATATCATCCACTCCACACAGCCCTGACTTTCCAGAAGGCTCACTGAACACAATCTAGATGGACTAGCATCCCCTCCCCCAAAACCAAAGAGGAAATCCTGCCTCAGTCTCTGGACCATATAAAACTGTCCTAAGGAAAGTAACTCATCCCTGCAATTGGCTAGTAGGCCCCATCTCTCAACTCACCCACTTGCAATGGGGAGAAAAACTAGTCAAATTCACAGCTTTTAAATACAGGTCATAGGGCCTCCCCGGTGGCGCAGCGCTTGAGCGCTGGGCTACGAAGCTGCCCGCAGCCTCTGCAGCGCCGGTTCGATCCCCGGTTGTTGTGCGAGGGGCCCACATGGCGCGCAGACCTCTCCTGCCGCCCGCTGCTCCCCTCAGCAGTGTACTTCGGTCCTTCTGCCTGCTCTGCTCCCCGCTCTGGCTCTGGTGAATCCTCTCACCCTCTGGGGCTTCTGACTGTACCCAGTGCTTGTATAAATAAATAAATAAATCTTTTAAAAAAAAAAATGCAGGTCACAAAAACAAGGAATTCGCAGCTCTTGGTTTCCAGTAAAGGAAAGAAGTCTGCTGGACTGACTTTCCCCTCAGGGACGTGTGGTGGGGGAGTGACCAGCCTGGGGCTTGCTGCACGTCGGGGCTGGCTCATCGCCAGCGGTCGGGCGAGTCGCCCCCAGCCGCTCCCGGCCAAGCACCCGGTCCTCCGCGCACGGGTTGCAAATCCCTTTGGGGTTCTGACCCTCGTGCTCTGAGGTTCGGACGTCACAGCGCTCGGCCCGGTTCTACGGGTAACTGACACCGCGAACGCCCCACCACCACCGCGCCCCGGGGCTCCGGCCCGCGCTCAGACCCAGGCGCCCCGCACGCCGCCGGCGAGGGGCGGGGGGTCCGCCCCGGGGTCCCGCAGGGCCCGGGGCTGCCGCACCCAGCGCTCTGCCCCCCAGCCCCGCGCCCCCAAGCCCCACAGACGGGGCGGCCCAGGCCACGCGGGGAGGCAGAGCGCTTGCCCGTCGGCGCCGGGGAGACCCCTCGGGGCGACCCCTCGGGGCGACGAGCGCCCGCCCGCCCCGGAGCGCGCGCCCTCGAGTCCCCTCCAACGACAGGTGCGCGGCGGCGCCCCGGCGCCAACTCGGGGCGCGGCTCCCCCGGCCCGCGCGGTTTCCCGTCTCGGTTTGCGGCCATTGAAACCCGACCCGCGGGGAGGGGCCGGCGGGGCGCGGGCGGCGGGCGCGGGCGGCGGGCGGGCTCCCCGTACCTGCGGCTCCGCGGGCGGCCTCGGCTCCGGCCTCCATGCTGGGGCGCGCGCGCTGCACCCCGCCCGCCGGAGGCCGGCCCCCGCCCCCTCCCCGCCGCCCCGCCCCCGCCCCGGGGCTGCCCCAATTCCCCCCTGTCCCCTCCCCCGTGCTCCCCGCCCACTCCCCGGGGGCTCCCGGCTTGCCCGCCACGTCCCTTCCCCCAGGGGGGCCCCGCCTCTTCCCTGGGGCTGCCTCTTGCAGTGCAGTTCACCCTGGGCTCCCCGGTTGTCTGGAGAGTTCACCCCGCCTCCCATTCAGACTCGCTCGCTGCCTCTGAGGAGTATTTATTACCCCCCTGCAACCTTTTGGAAGAGGAAGCTGTTGGCACCCCCAAGACCTCACCAGGCCCGGGCCTTGGCCTTGCCATCCCTCTTGGCGCCCCCCCACGTTTCCGGCTCCCATTCCTATTTTTAAGGACCGGGATGATTTGCTTTATTTATTGCTGTTTGAAAATACACAGGTTGAAAAATAGCTCAGAGGCAAGGAAAGCTCACAAGGCGAGGTTCCTCTAGGAAGCTTTTCTGCCCATTTCCACGTCTTTTCAGGTTTTTCCTCATCGTGGTGACAGGTTGTGCTGATACTGAACAAGGGGATGACCAAGGTCAGGAGACAGCTGCAGGGAGATGGTGGTGCCCGGCCTGGGTGCAGCAATAGGCCAAGGCACACCTGTTAGGATCATTCCCCAGGAATTTGCAAAATTTGAAAGAAAAGCCAGTATTTAGACAATAGGACTAGCAAGCTACTGAATAAATAACAACTCCTGTTGTAACAGTTGTTATTTTTCAGTCAAGAAGATGAAATCTCACTACCCCCAAATGACTAAGGCTTGGGAGAAATTGGAGACAAGAAAAATATAGGTAAGCATGTCTCCAAAAACTTTATAATGTAGCACAGAAGACTGCCAAAAAGTTTGACACTGATTTTCAAGGTAGTGGCTCATAGTTCATAGGTGAAGTTATTTAAACTACTATCTTCTCTACCAGTTTCCCAAGGAAGACTGAAGACACTCCCAGCATATAACATGATCTCTAGTACACCAATTCCCAGCTGTTTCAAAACAACTTTAAAAGGTTATTTCAAGGGCCTCCCTGGTGGCACAAGGGGTTAGGACACAGCCTATGAAGCTATCCCATAGCCACTGCAGCACGAGTTTGATCCCCTGCCAGGGAGCTACACACATGGCGCGCAGACCTCTCCTGGTTTGCCCGCTGCTCCCCTCAGCAGTGTACTTTGGTCTTTCTGCCTGTTCTGCTCCCTGCTCTGTCTCTGGTGAATTCTCTCACCCTCCCGCACCTATGGCCTGTACCCCAGTGCTTGTATAAATAAATCTTTAAAAAAATAATAAAAGGTTATTTCAGTGTATTATAAGTCCCATTTTTTTATTTTTAAATAAGTGTGTGCTATAAGTTTTTGAGAGCTATGCTTTAGTAAGCAAGTTTAAAAACATGAATATGTAGCTTTTTACAGAAATCTCCAAAAAAGATGAAGTGCAGCAGTTTTGGGGTTCTTACCTGGGTATTAGGAGTCAAGTCTCACCTAGAACAACCAGCAATTGAACATGGATAGGTAGGTAGGTAGGTAGGTAGGTGATAGATAGATAGATAGATAGATAGATAGATAGATAGATAGATAGATAGATAGATAACTGCATCATTGAGCTAATTCCACAGTAGGAAAAATCATACATACTTTAATTTTGAAAACAGAAACGGTTGCTACCTCTACAGTGTTTTGGATTATATGAGAATATTGATGCAGACAATTCATCTTGTCAGCAGAAAAATTTAACTTGCAATATCTATAAATACAGTTCAGGACTGTAAATGTATTTTCCTTATGATTTTCTTAACAACATTTTCTTTTCTCTAGTTGATCTTATTGGAAGTCTATAATACATGTAACATGCAGAATACGTGTTCATCAACCATCTATGTTATCAGAAGGCTTTTGATCAATGCCAGCCTCTTAGTTAAGTTTTGGCGAACTCAAAAAGTTGTACTCAGATTTTTGATTGCGTGGGGTCAGCCCCTCTTACCCCACCCCAACCCTCTCTGCCCCCATATTCAAGAATCCAACTATATTCTGGTAGAGTGTTTTGCAAACTACAACTGCAACCCAGCCCATGGCCTCTTTGAACACTGCCTGTGAGCCAAGAATAGTTTTGACATTTGTAAGTAAAAATCAAAAGAAGAATCCTTTGTGACTCACAGGCCGTTATATGAAATTCAAAATTCAGTGATTGGAATACAGCTACATCCATTTATTTGCATCTTATCAATGCTGCTTTCAAACCACATCAGCAGAGCTGAATCTTTGCCACAGACCATGTGCCCCACAAACCTAAAATATTTACTCTAGCTTTTTACAGAAACTGTGTGAACACTGGTTGGAATATTAAGCTGAAGAGGGACAGGTAAGTCCCAACAGCTATCCTGGAAGACTGACATGTTTAAAGAATCTGTTACTGCTTTGATGAGAGGCCATGTCAAGTGTCCTCAGTTTTGCAGCCCCGATAAGTAGCTGCTCTGCAAGTAGTGAGGGTTGACACAGAAAGGAGCTTTTATTATTGTTGTTATTTTAGTCGCAAGTGCTTCTGGCTGACTGATTTATCTTCTCCACCTCCCACGAGGAATTTGACCAGTTTGATTAAGGTTCATTTATGTCAAGTGTACAAAATGTGTTGTAAGCGCTGTTTGTGTCAGGGACAATAAACAAACCCGTCTAATCCCTTTTCTTGCTTAAACAGGAAGTCACAGCATGCCAACGAGAAACTTAAAACAAATCCCACAACGTTTTATGTGCGATTCAAAATACGAAATGATTTTAGATCTCGGGATATCATCATCCTGGCAGGTCACATTTGTCGTCCCTGGTGAGAACACGTGTGGAGTCTTGCTGGCTCTGTGGTTCACAAAGAAAGGGTCTCACCTTGCCCCCTTAATCCCAGAGTCAAATACGATTACAAATATTTCCCTCTCGGGAACTTAACTTGTAAGACAGATCCCTGTGTTTTTTGTTAAGTAAAGCATCTCCCTTTAGCGGCCGGCTTCGTTCTCAGGCTTACTGTATTTCATCCGTCTCAAGATCGCGTTTGACATCAGGGTTAGAGACCATTTGTTTTTCCAATGGAAAAAGAAATAAAAGTGCAGATGTCAGACTTCAGAATCCATCCTTCTCTGGATTGTTTTCATTTTCGAGAAGAAAAATGTGTGGGTTTTTTTCCAAGTGGGGGTGAAGACAATCGTAGATGTGTCACTGTGGTGAAGGAAAAATCTTTTATACGTCTCATTTTCTTTGTTATTAATTGCCAAATGAGAGGCAACTTTAGGACATAAGAAGTAAAGTGTAAGAGAGGGAAAACTCCAAGGACACATTCCTGTTTAAGTTAGAAGAACAGTTTATGTCAAATCCTAAAAAATAATTTCAAAGATTATCAGAAAAGGAACATGGTTAAAACCGACTATTGAGGCAGGATAAGTAGATATTAATTCGAACACCCAGACCTCATTAGTTAACGTTGATATCAGAGTTCGCCCTTAGCAGCACCAACGTAGCAATGTCAGCGATTGGCTTCATCAACTAGTAGGTAGCTCTGACAGGCAGCAAAGCCCTCCTGACAGAAAACTGGATAAGTGACGTGAACTCAGAGCTGCTCTCCAGAGGGGACTTGAGAGACATCCATCGTGCCAGCGGGGGTGTGAGAAATTGGGTAAATGCTTTCAGAATTGAATTTCAGTGTTGTCTACTTTAGCGTCAAAATGAGCTGAAGTGGGACCTCCCTGGTGGCGCAGGTGGTTGAGCACAGCGCTGTGAAACTGTCCGCATCCTCTGCAGCACGGGTTCGATTCCCGGTCGGCCAGGGAGAAATCCATATGGCGCGGCAGACCTCTCCTGTCTCACCCCCTGCTCCCCTCAGCAGTGTATTTCAGTCGGTCTGCCTGTTCTGTTCCCCGCTTTGTCTCTGGTGAATCCTCTCACCTTCCCGTACATCTAGCCTGTACCCCAGTTCTTGTATAAATAAATAAATCTTAAAAAAAAAAAATGAGCTGAAGTGCCCAGCTTCCTAGAGCAGGCAGGGGAGGCCAGAATTTGGAGGCTGGCAGGGCAAATGCCACTTCCCACCTGTTCTCTGCTATAAATATGCCTGCAGCCCACCCTGGGGGCCAATTAAAAGGAAGGGTCTCTGTTCCACATCCCAGCAGACATCAAGTGGAGGCTCTTTCTTGGCAATGATCCCCATTAAGAGACAGGGGAGGGGGTCTTTTTTAAAATCAGGGGGCCAATTAGGGAAAAGGTATCATGTGGTCATGATGTTATAGGGCAGGGAGAGGGGCAGCCCAAACCCCGCAAACCTGCCTATTCTAAATGGGTTCTGCCATCCGCCGCATCAACACAAAACATAGGAGACTTTAATGGGAAGGAACTTTAATACGACTAGGAAACAATACAGGTAAGTCAAAGAGTCTAGTTTCTAAATGAAGCACCCAAAGTTACCCGTCCCCTCGTGGGTAAAACTCCATCCATATGGGATCGGCCCAGAACAAGGCCCCAAAGCCTGCCACAAGTCTAAAGCATCTTCCAGTGGGGACCCACAGAAAAGGGTCACAAACAACTGGACAAGCCCGGAAGGAAAAGAGCAAACTCAACATCAAGATAAAAGCTGCCATTGTCACCTCCCCACGGGTCTCACCCACATCTGTGTCACCCAGTCCACGACCAAAAGACAAGTGCAGTTTCTTCATATGTCTCTAGGCTCCATGCGCCTCCTCCAGGTCGCCTGGCTCCATCCTGCTTCCTTCCTCAGTCTCTTCTGCAGCTTCTCCTCTTCCTGCTCAGCTCCACCCTCCCTTGGGTGGGGCAGGGAACCTCCCCCTTTCCTGGGTACCACCCTGTTACAATGATACCTAATGCTAGAGGCGCTACACTTGGGGGAGCAGCCCACTGGGGAGGGAAACTGGGCTGGAGCCTGCTGTCCCTGAGCCTGGTGCCCAGTGGCC